GTCATGTGCTTCCATAAAGATGACAGCCCAGTAAACCAGTTTTGCCCTGTCGCATGGGGCTGATGTGCATCAAAGTCGACTTACCAGCACCCAAGAATTATCAAAATCCAAGAAACAATAATCGGTGTATTTTTAACTAAAGCCCTACTTCCGCCAGCCACTTTAGCAACACCCTCACCAGACTGCAGCTCCAGGATACACGTCATCCTGGCTCACAGAAGTGCTTAATACATTATTACCTGTTACCTGCATTTTGGATCCAAAGGAAACACCAATCAAAAAGATTAAAGAAGTAGCCTAGAACCCTCTCCCAGAAGAGAGAGAATGGGATTTGAATAGAGGACCATCTGGCTACAAAGCCAGAAGTGCTTCCCTTGCGGATGTTGCCTCCCTGGACCCTCGGTAACTCTGTGACCAGCCCCAATTTAACAGATATGTAAATGGTGGCTCAAGGAAGCCAACGGACTTGCTTCAGGAGACGCAAGTGGTAGCACGGGCTAGAGCGCCTGCTCTTAAGGACATGCTTTTCGGCCTCTTCCCTTACTAGACGCCTTATGGAATGGGTAGGTTTCATTTTGGACAAACATGGTTTAATCCTACACATCCAGTGCACACATTTTAACCATGTTATGAATATCAATGAGTACAATGTAGTAGATGGGAAACTTCTCGAAGGAATGGACTTTCTCAGCCCGATCTTTAGATCCCTTATTAAGACTAAATTAATTGCCCCCAATGAGGGTAGCTAAGCAGTGAGTGAGTCAACAGTTACCAGCTGGCAACTCCATGTGTGTCAAGAGTAGAACTTGGCTGATTGTTTAAGAAGCTGATCACCAGGCCTTTTGCCACAAGGCCTCTGGGTGATCTCGAGCCAATCAACCTTTGATTGGCAGCGGAGTGAGTTAATCATTTGTATCATCCGGGGACCCCCAAACACACAGTACCTTCCCTCTGAGAATCTGCCTCAGCCTACCACCTTGGAACTCAGTTTCCACAGATTGCTGCTTGGGGGCCTCCTGCCTCCTCCTCTGTTGGTACCTCTGTGCCCGGTTGATCCTCACAATGGTCAAGGGACATGTCTCCACTTCTCTAGCTCTTTCTTTCCCATCTGCAACCCAAACTCATTAGCCTCCTTACTCCCTGCAGCCAGGGAACGCTAGACAACAAAACCGTGGGAAGAACAATGCACCCTGTGCCAGGAAGGCGAGACCTCAAATGGACTTAAACCACTTCAGTCATGGCCACCGCAGAAAAACCGGACCAGACCCAACTGGAATGATAAGTGGGGCAGGAAAAATGAAGGGTTCAGAGTTCTCTGGAATGGCTAACTCAGAAGAGGCGTAGCGAACCATTTCAGGAGCCCTATGTGGGAGACTGTGTTATGGCCAGAATGACATACATTCAAAGCAGAGTAGTCGGCTGCCATTTTTGAGTCAGGCACGGTCGTTTGCAACTAAGTATGCAGTATCCACACTGCCCTTATTCTCTAGGAGATGGACTCCGTTTCTAGCACGGCACCGATCCATCATCTTTCTTGTTCCAGTAGAGCACAGCCTACGAATTCAGGCCCAGGAAGAAGTGGCTAAACGCCCTGCAGGAAAGGAAGGCAAAGGCAGGGACGTGGGTGAAGTGTTTTTGGCAGGTGATCGTTTTGTTTTGTGCTCTGGGTGTCACGGTTGTTGAAGAGGAGAGATTCCGGAACACTGGGTTGAGAGAAAAATAACTTTCTTACCTAACAGCTCCATTTTTCACTTAACAACTGCGTTTTTTCCCAAAGTGTTTAAAACTTGAAAAGGAAGTGGGCTTCTTTGAAACAAAATTGATTGGGATTAGCGATCTTAAAACAGGTTCTCAATACCACAGCCAGGCATGCTGTACAAGTGATACTTTCACTAGCTTGATAAAAATAGGAAATCAAGTTACTTAGGAAGAAATTAGGGTTCAATTGTGTCAGTCAAAGTTTCTACATAAAGTATAATGATAAGAGAGAAAAATCCCATCCTGACTTATTCTTGAGGAACCCTTTCTCCAAAGAAAAATTAAAAAAATCATCTGGGGAATCTCAGAACAGTTAGATTTGAGGAAGCTGACAGAACTAAACCAGAGATGCCAATCTGGCTTTAGTGTGCCCAGTTAGTGATAAATTACACCTACCCCCGCCCCCACACACCCCTCCTCCCAGTGTGAAGCAGGCTGGCAGGTGATGGACACACTGTACACAGGAAGCTGAGAGGGCAAAGGCAAGGGAGACATCAAAGATCAGAATCTGGTGGTCTTGTCTAGTGACCTGCTTCACTCCCTGGGGTACAAACTTTAGGGGAAATTTTGAAGTTTAAAACTTAGCAAGAGAAAATATCTAGATTTTTGATATGTCTACACCTTCCTAATTGTTAGAAGCATTTTACGAAAGATTCCTTGGTTTTGTTTCTCAGGTTATTTCCATTTGAGATTTCCAAGAAAGACAGTCTCGGAACTCTACTAAACATGAACTCTACGAAACATGCACTGACTGTGGAAGAGGAGCTCATTATTAATTATAGTCAAAAGACCTAACTTGAACCCACAGGAGACATGTAAACTCGTGCTATTATTTTCTTCTAATCACACATGTAAGTAAGAATGATGATAATTTCTACTTTTCCCCAACTGAGTCATGCAATTTCAATTTCAGATGCCACCCAACACACACACACACACACACACACACACACACGTAAATATCAACTTTGGACATCACCTTCAGCAGTTCTCTTGTAGTGGAATCTGGTGAGAAAACCAGGACATCACACATGATGGCCACATTTTATACCAAGTTTGTTGACCAAGGCCACACAAAATGGTTTTGGGTAGGGGACACATTTCATATAGGGCTTTCGCCTCTTGCCATAAATATTGGAGGTGTCTTCCACTTCTAGGGAAAAGTATAGTGCTTTCTTTGGCTCTCATACATCAACCCAATAACAATGAAAGACCTAAAAATCCCAGGAGTTTCAAACATGTCTTTGCAAATGTTAACCTGAGACTCTAACTAGGCCTGTTACTGTATCATCTTTGGGATTGTCTGCGCCACCTAAGGTTCAGTAGGCCAAAACCAGTAAACCCACCACTGCCATCAAGCACATTCTAACTCACAGTGACTCCATAGGACAGTGTTGAACTGGCCCGTAGGGTTTTATAAACAACTGGGGGAGGGGGGTTTGGAACCAATGGCCTCTTGGTTTACAGCCAAGTGCTTAACCACGGTGCCACCATCCTTAGTAGACGAGTAAATGGCTACTCAGTTACATACAATGTAAATACAAATGTATCTAGAACCCAAACCTGTTGCCCTTCAGTAATTCTGACTCATAACTCTATAGACAAGACAGAACTGTTCCATGGGGCTTCCACGGCTATCACCCACGGAAGCCGACTGCCACTTCTTTCTGTCATGGAGAGGTTGCTGGGTTTCAACAGCCAACCTTCAGATTGGCAGGCAAGTTCATTAACTACTGTGTGACCAGGGCTCTTTACCCAGAGCCACACCGGTGATGAATTACAAAAGGAGAACAAGTACCCTCCTAACAAGCCTAACAAGAATCTGTAATTCTCCAAAATATTTCATTGGACAGTCTTCAGGAAAGAGTGACTAATCCATGTGAGCACTTCTTTGGTGGGATGCTCAAACCCACGGTACTAGAACCTGCAGCTTTGTAGTCTGAGGGCTTTTGGTTAGCAAAGGTTTAACACAAAGGTCTGGAGCTGGGTCCAAGGTCAGTTTGCCTGGTCTTGCTCTTTCTAGCAGTGTGACTTGGGGCCATGACTTCATCTCCCCGTGCCTCCATTTCCTCAGCTATTATGTCAAGGATATCATAAGACCTACCTCACAGGGCCGATGTGAGAATACTCAATATCTCCTACTTAACATACATTCATTTTACAAGTAGTTAGGCTTGGAGGGTTTTATTCATCTCAAATTCAAATTTGTGGGCTATGTCTACAGAATGTATTTCAACGAGTTAAGCATTCACAAACTAAAGACTATTGTGTTTGTCTCAGAACAGTTTTACCCAGGGCAGTCAGTCAGATGTCCACCAGAGATGGAATTACATACAGGTTTGATAGCGGGGCTGGAACCTGCGGGCCCAGCAGCTGAGAGATAAGGGATTCACCTCATGACCTGACCTTGGAAACCTTGCCTTTCATGCCGATTTATCCAGAAAAGAAAATGAGTGGGCCCCTGCTTTGTGCCAGAGAGGTGTGAGGCGCTCTCGTATTATCTTTCACTAAGCTATAGGAAGCGGAGTGTAAGCCCTGGGCGTGTGGAAATGCGCGCGCATACTGAGGCCGTTCTAGGACACTGGTTTCCTAGGCAGGGGCTTCTCGCTAACCTGTGGCTTCCGAGTGGAAGGCGGCCTGCCTGGAGTCTCCTCCTTCAGTTTCTGGACAGCCGCTGGAGTCGGGGTGGGTGGGTATAGGAAGGTGGGGATAGGATTCCGGTTTCTGAACCGGAGCCTCCCGGCGGAAGCAGCCTGACCCTGTGACAGATTCGAAGTCCTGCAAGACCCCTGGGAGAGTTCCCTGGTGGCCTTGACCTTGGTGCTTGGGACTCAATTTGGCAGCCTACTGGCCGGAGGCCAAAGCCTCACCGCCGGCGCGGGAATGTGAACCAAGACAGGTACAGGTCTTGGGGGCCTGGGACCCCCACTCTAGTAGCCAACATCTCGGGGTCAGTGTTCCCTTCTGTAGGTGCGAGGGCTCCGGCCTCGTCTGGACACAGCACACGCGGCGATCGGCCACAGAGAAAAGGGGCTGGGGCCAGCTCAGCCTAGCCCACGACCAGAGCCGGGGCGGTGGGGACCGCTCGGTAAGCCAGCGGTCGCGCACGTCGGGCAGGGTCACGCGGCCTCCCCGCCGTGTCCTGGCGCCCAAGGAGGGGGCCGGGTGATCGCCCTGGCCGGGCCCCCTCCGAAGGACCGGGCCGGGCCTCCACTGTGACGGCGACCCTCCGCACGTCTCACCTCCCTGCGCACGTTCAGTAGTGAGTAATAGTCTTCATTGTCCAGCTCCTCCTCGCTCAAGGCCGTCGCCATCTTCGCAACCTTTCACCCTGGCAAACCGGCAAGGCTGTGCTCAAGAGGGGCCAGCGATTCGCGGGCCCCACCACGCGGACCGGGCCGGCTGCGCCACAGTGCCCCCTGGCGTCTCGGAGTCGCGCCGCAGCCGCCGCGCTCGCGTGAAAGGAGCGCGCCTGGGCTCTGCGTCCCTGTGCAGCCCAGGACCCGCCACGTGCGCAGCCCGGCCCGCGTGGTCGCGCACCCAGGGACCCGAAAATCCATCCACGCCGTCTTAGGGTTTCTCCTCGACTAGAAAAGGAAACTCAGACCTGGGAAGCTGACTCGTTGAGCGCTGCCTACCCTCCCCCGCACCCCACAGCCGCAGGAATCCCGGCTGGAGCTGCAAGCGCTAGAGAGAGACGTCCTGGGCGGCCCGGGTGGCGAGCCCCTCCGGCGGAAAACACTTCGTGGCCCCCATTGTCCACTTGTCTTTGGAAAGAAAACCATATAAGGGGTTTGCTCTTACACCTCCGGAACCCTGGTGGCGTAGTGGGTTACGAGTGAAGCTGCTAACCGCAAGGTCAAGCTGCTCCTTGGGAAAAGATGAGGTTGTCCACTGCCATGAACCGGTACAGTCCCCAGCACCCCCAGGAACAAGTCTACTTTGCCCTATAGGGTTGCCATGAATCGGAGTCCACTCTGTGGCTGTGATTTTGTAAATGAATTTTTCCCCAGGCGCCCGGTGGCGCAGTGAGTTAAGTGTTGGGTTGTTAACCATAAGGTCAGTGGTTCAAACCCAGCAACGTCTCCATGGGAGAACGACCAGGCTGTCTGCTCCAGTAGACGGCTACTTCTTGGAAACCCGAAGGGACAGTTCTACTTCATCATACCGGCTCACTATGAGTTGCCATCAACTTCGTGGCAGTGGGTTTTGATCCATTTTTCTGCTGTTTACGTGATGCACCAATCCCGTTTGGTTTCTAATCGACCTATGTTCAGTGTATACCTCTATAGTTCCTGTTGCCGCATCTTTCTGTGCATTTCTACCGTATCGGGTAGCGGTGGAGCCTAATTGATTTCAACCAGGTGCCTGTTGTTTGGTGCATTATTAAAGGTGTCTTGGATATAATCTTCTAAATCAGCGTCTTCAAGATGATGCAGTTTTCAAGGGGAGGTGGGCATAGGGCCTGCCACGCCCCTGCCACCTGTTTGGTTCATGCTGACCTGGGCCGATTTGTCATCATTTCTCAGGGACGCTTTTTGTTTCTTAACTAACCGTCGCTTCAGTGCCGTCTCTGCTGCCCTTCATAAGCGGGTCCCCAGGGAAGCCCCAAACACCTGTCTGTGGAATTGAGAAGTTGATTTCTCTCTCTTCCTAATTTTTGGCCAGATGTGCGCCATATGGGCCCGTGTAGCGTCTCTTCCAAGTTGCCTGGCCCTCTTAGGATCCTTTGGCACGAGACACTTCGGTGTGCTGGGATGGGCTGTTAAGCCAGTCTGCAACAGACTGTCAGCGCAGGTTGTAAACGAAGAGCTATTTCTTTAGCTGGGTTGGGTGAGGGTTCCCCACAATAGCTTTCCGCTTTCACCGTCGCTGCTCGGGTTCCATCCGCGATTCCAGCAATTTTTACAAGCTTTGCTTTTTCCTCCTCTTGCGAGCTGTGATGCAAGCTAAGCTGCATGCTGACATTCGCTGGTCTTTAAGACTTTCAGACAGGGAAGCTGAAGAACAAGAACGTTACGGCGTTGAGACGTTCTTCCCCCCCCTCGGGTTTGTAGACATTAATTGCGCCATAATGCTCAGTTGGGTAGAGAAGTTCTTCCCCATCCCTCCACTATTTAGGGAAGCATTGCCTCAAGGAATTATACAAAGGGAATGTAACATATGTTTCAGTATGCCCAGGTCTGTGTTCCTATGATTAAGGATGACCTGGTTTGTGTCACTACGCAAGACAAGATAAATACTGACTCAGGCAGTTCTGTTTGTTCTTTCTCAGATCCATGATAGTGAGTA